TAATATAATATAATATAATATAAAAGTAGCACCCAGAAATGGTAAGGCAGAAAAGGGTCAGTGCTCTATTGAAGTCAGCAGAGCTTTGTTGAAGGAGAGATTTCAAAATACAACCCCAATGCAGACAATTTTGCTCAGGTTGGGGGGGTTGTTATTGGAATATCCATTAAAAGAGAAAACATGATTAAAAATAAAAATTGCAGGTAAGAGCTTACAGGCTAATTAAAAGGAAAAAAAGAGATGAAACTAAGATTGGGGTTCAACGTTTAAAATAAAATTGCCCTCAGCCCTGTTTTCTTCTCAGTCATAATTTTCTCCAGATAGCCATGCTTTCATTAATATAAAATCAGTGCTTTGCACTTCCACAGACACTGCCAAATGCCTGTTCAGTGGTGGCTGGGCTTGCAGCACACTGAAAGTGCTCAATCCAAGAATTTCCCATATCCTTTCAATGAGGATTTATAGCCCCTTCAATCTTTCAGGTAGGTTTGAGCCAAAGCAAAAGCTGTAGGCAGTTGGAAAAGGGTGTGTAATTAAGCAACCTGATCCACAACACCTCCCCTCCCTCCAGCTCTTGATAGCGCTCGGTTTCTGCTCCCTGATCCAGTGCAAGGTAGACGGGAGCAAGGTGCAGCCTGCATGCAGGGCGCTCACCGCACAACCCTATATACACTGTATATGGAGAAAATAAAAGCAAACTACCTGCTGCGTCCACAGGACTTCACTGTCCATCTTCACCTCTGCAAACGCTTAGCTGTCCCGTCAGGCTAGTCTGAGGTCAGCAGCCATCTAAAGGGAGCCAGACTGTGACAGCCCACTTGTCCCTACAGCAGGCATGGAAGTGGTGGTGGCTCTAAGCAACACAAACCTGGTCACGGTTACTTTCGTTTAATTGTGCTTCTTATCGAGAAAACAAGATCAAGGAGGTGGTATTCGTCTTTAGCATTTATTTATCATTGGAAAAAAAACCCCTTTGAGCAAGCAAAGATCACAAGCACGTCACAATCAATTGGCTATACATTAATTTGTGTGTGTGTGTGTGTGTGTGTATGTGTCACTCTCATTAGAACAGCAAGACTGAAAAAGCACCACGAGGAGGTGTGCTTAACACATTACAAGAGACAATTTGTGATACGCAACCAAACCCAGGCCACAAAATATTAATTAGACACTTCTTATCTGCCTCCAAGAGGCAAGAGTTTGTGAAATTCATGGGAGCCATGTTTTCACACCGGATGCGTTGCAAATGAAGAAGCAGGTGATCGGTGTGCAAAGCAGTCAGAAAACAGGAGCTCAGTCAGCAATTAGCACCATTTTGCAGAAAGGAGTAACAGTACAATACAGTGAAAATGAGAAAGCAAGCAATAGACAGCATAGGAACTTTCACAGGGTAAAAAGCAAAACACTTTTTTTCTTTTTACAAGAAAAGCAAAACATATTACAAATCAGCAATGAAACAGAATCAGCATTGTGGTAGCTGGAAACACAGAACAGCAGAGCACTTTCCCAGTGGGATCGACAAGCTCAGAGTCCAAAGTGAACTTGAAACGGCAGAGATTTGGTCTCCTTTCTGATAAACCTGAGTGGGTTGGATGGGTATAAAGTCTGTGTAAGGTAGAGCAATGCAGGATTAGCCCTGAGGCCTGACTCTGCTGCAGTTCCTGGCATTCAATGCAATGACTGTGTGCTTAGATGTGTGCTGGTGCACATGGAGCTAAGGCCAGAATTTATATCTCTGTGTAGTTGCTCTCTGAGAGGGAGGTCACCAGGCCCTATCAGACTTCCAGGCTCCTTCTGCAAATATTGAAACCTTCTAAGGATCATTCATCCCACCCAAAGGGAAGTGTCCCAAATAGGCAGCTCAATGGCCCTTGAAAAGTTCCTTCACTAGAGAGGAAATTTAGACCACTGGCTGCAACTTCATACTTAGCTTTGTAGTTAGATGCCACCAAAATCTTCATGTATTAAGGAAACATAAGACCATATTCTGACCACTCACTGTGCATAGAACCACAGAAACATAGAAAGGTTTGGGTTGGAAGGGACCTTAAGGGTCACCCAGTCCAACCCCTGCCATGGGCAAGGACACCTCCCACTAGCCCAGGCTGCTCAAAGCCCCATCCAACCTGGCCTTAGACACTGCCAGGGAGGGGGCATCCACAGCTTCTCTGGGCAACCTGTTCCAGTTTCATGTTTCATTCAGACATTGTGATCGATGCTCCTCATTGAGAAGAAGCAACCCTGAAGCCCTGATGAGCAGTTGATCCAGAGTCATGAAGATACTTGGATTGGGTGGTCTGAGTATCTTAATGATGTTCCTTGGGCAAAAATTGGTTACCCTTGAAGTCAAGGGCTAAATTCTCATTGAATTCAAGGTAAAATGGTGGCAGGCATGCTGTCTCTTTGAATGCGAAACTTAGGGCCAAAAACTAATTGGGAAATTGCTTGGCATGGTCTTTCCTGAGGTACAGTGAGATCGGTGTGTTGGGCTATTGGTAACTGTCTACGTGCCCTCCTGACATGTTCTGCCTGCAGTGACACTTCATCTTCACAGCTTTTGCTATGTCCTGCCATAGGAAAGGACGGTACTGAGGAATGTGAAGATGGATGAAGCATCTAAATGCCAAGGAATCACACCAAGTCTTGGAAGCTCAGGCTTCTCTGGCCAGTTGTCCCTTGTGCGATGGGGTGGGAAGTGCTGTGAGTGGCACTCCTTTCCACCAGCTTAACGCAAGCCTTTCGCCGAGCTGCTCTGGAGACAGAGCTGCGCTTTGCACTTGAGCAGTGCTGCAGGGGCTTCTGAGCATTCAGAAAAGCAATGGTCAATATGGACAGGTCAACGTCTCCATGGAGCATGCACATCAAAAAATGCACTACATTCGCAAAGATTTCCACAGTTTTACTTCCTGGAGGATTTCCCTGGTTTCCTTCTAAACAGCGGAGATTTAAATATATATATATATTTCTATATATGAATATATATTTTTCACATACACAACCTGACTAGCTCATAGCACACAGTTCTAACACAGCTAAGCTTGGAAATACACCACTGAATTCAGAACACTACACTTACTTATACTCAAAGCTTTAGGCTGTTAGCGCAAGGCAAACAGGACACATCACATAATACACTGAACTTGGCATTTATTCTTTACTAAGGCCAGCAAATGTCACTATCTGTATACCGCAGAGCTTTCCTCTTTGGAAACTTTCTCTCAGCCTTGTAGCCCACCACTCAATTTATGTTTCCCAAAGACCCAATTCTAATGGGTTTGAGGCCCCAGAAATGGGACTTCTCACCCTCCTGGCCCAACCCTTTTTCTGCTAGACAGTTTGACATCTCTAAAATATCCTAGCAGCAAGACTTTCCTCCTTCAAACACCTCTACAGCAACACAGTTCTGATAATCTCCTCTTAGACCATCTCCCTACCCTAGTTCCCATCTCTCTCTTTGTTCTTCCCAATTGTCTGTTCTCTGAAAGTTTCAGGTTGGACTGTATGTTAGGATAGAAATACTGAGCTGTAAATATAAAGAAGAACCCTGCATCTTGACTTGCAGCTACTCTGCTACAGGAGAGTCTAACAGCTCAGTTTGGTTGAATCAAAATTAATCCTCACATATTTAGGACCCTATCCAGGAGTCAGGCACATAAATTCGGATTGGGACTGCAACCCTTGCAGCTCCCATTGACACAACGATCCAAATTTTGGGGTATGCAATGCCTGTCTGTTGGGCCAGTTCATACTTGCTGACAAAAGGTCCCACTGTGTTTACAGCTTCCAAACTGGTCTTGCTGGACACAGAGGAATTCCTAGAGTAAGAGCACAGTAAATAGGATTGAAACCCTGAGATCTTGCCTGGAGGGAGTCTAGGGATCCCAGCAACTGGTTTACGTCCCCCTTAGGATGCTTACAAGCCAACATGAACTCCAACAGCTGGTAGAGTCAAAACAACAGGGACTGACAGCTCTAGCCAACCTTGGTGAACTCATTTCTTTCTGCTCCTTGGAAGGTCATGTCTGCAAACTAAACCTCTTTCTGAAATCTAGCTCTGTCTACTGGCACCCCAGAAGTGAAGAAAGCAGACCAAGATTCAAAACAAATCAGGAATAACTAAAAAAATCCATAACCTAGGGGAAACAATAGGGAAGAACAGCCTGCTGATAACCTAGTCTGAGCTGCCACATGCTTGGGAAGTCTTCACTGCTCTCTGCGTCTTCCCTCACTCCTTTCTCTTTTAAATCAAGGCCTTCAAGTGGTGTAAATGGGTGAAGCTGCCTTGACACAGCTACACCTACCTCCCAGCTACCCTGGGGGAGGATCTGGCCCTTTATTTGCATGGGATGACCTTTCCCATTGCTTCTCGGAGCACACGTCCCACCAGTGTCACCAGGGGAAACTGCTCTTGGCCACACCACTGATGCTAGTGGATTTACGGCAGATCCACAGCACCACAAATGAACCTCTGATCCTCTCTGCCTCCAAAACCTTTCACCTGCTGACACCAGTGGGAGATGACCCAACAGTGGTCAACCCCAAAAGGTCGCCATGGGATGAAAGCAAAGCCCCTCCCATGGCTCAACAGGCCCTTCTACGCTGTCAAAGTGTTGAAGGACCAAGCTCAAGAAAGGGACAAGCTGTTGGACACAATCACGGTTGATCTAACACCTTTGTCTCCTAAGAACCCACTTGTGCCATCCCACATCCCTCACTCTGTGCAGAGCCATGTTGTGCAGGCAAAGCAGAACAACTTGACCTCAGAAATAAGGATTCCCTAATCCTCCTTGGAAATAAAACAGAAAAGCTTCTAATACAATCAGAACAAAAAGCAGATTAGAAGCCTCTAATTAATTTTGTGGCCTTTATTTAATCAAAGAAAAAAAGGAAAAAAAAAGGAAAGAAAAAAAGAAAGAAAAAAACAGAGAAAGAAAGGAAAGTGCAGTGACATTTACTCTTTTGCCTCAGCCAGTTTATTGTTCATCTCTTTACTTTTCTCCTTGTCCTCTGGCTTTGCTGTGTTGGAGGTCTCAGCACTCTTTTTCTTGGCAGCCCGGCCGGATGCAATCTGCTTGTCTTTGGCCTTTTTCAGGGGTTTATGGCTTGTTGTGGTCTTTTTTGGTTTGGAAGGCTTTACGCTAGGCTTTTCCACCTGCATGGAGGGCGACGCAAAACGACAACACAGAGATGGAGAGAGAGAGAGAGAGAGACACAAGGACAGGTGGAAAACAGGATTTAGATCAGAAATAGCATGAATGTTACTTATCTACTCAGCTGCACCCTATCAGGAAGGCAGGGGACCAGCTGGGTGCATGCTGAGTGCAAATGGCCAACTCCTTTCATCGTGTTGATGCCCTCAAGTCACAAGTGCCCCTGAAGTCAGCAGAGCCCATTGTATCCAGATCAGGACACAGATGGGTAAAGAGCAGAGTGAATATTATCAGTAATTTTATCAATTCTTCCATCTTTCTCTGACTTCATGAGTGGCTTTGCAAGCCCACAGAGGATTATCTCTGGATTTGAAGCAGGGAAATGATGCTCAGGACAAAAAAGCTAGTTGAAATCCCCACCTTTCTTGCAGGACATGACTCCTTAGTTTGGTCTTCCTTAACAGATTGCTACAACAGAGTAAAATTACTTGGGTATAGCTAGGCTACGGGACACTGATTGGTACCTGAGCAAAGTCCACAACAGTGTCTTGCACCCACCTGTTTTTACAGCCCACAAAATAAGGAAGACAGCTTCAAAATTAGGGAGGAACAAAAGCCTTCAGCTCTTCCATGCTGGCCACTGCCATCCCCCTGAGACCTCACAAATCTAAGCAGTTACAAACTCTGGGAAGGACTAATGGTCTAAGGTCTAAAACTGCAAAGATTGATTCCATTTATATGCAGATTCTCCACCACTCCTAGAAAAAAGGCTGGAAGACATTTCAGCCCAGGCCCTTCTCAACACAAGTCCTCCATCTGACCAAAGCCAAAAGTGCTTACTGTCAAAATCTGTGGAGTGCTCTGAATAAACTGCAGATGAAGATCAGCCTCTTACCATGTTGTTCCTGGGATAAAGTGTAACATGAGGTGTCTATAGTTTTGGAGGAAGAAAGAGAAAGCTGTCTAGATAATGATCTGGGAAATGACAATGCAGAAACATTTTCATCTGGGCCCTACACTCGCTCCTTTGCATTTTGACAAAGGACACCATTGTCTCCAAAGTGCATCGACCTGTACTAGAGCCCATAGAGTCATACAATGATTTGGGTTGAAAGGGACCTCAAAGCTCACCCAGTCCAACCCCTGCCATGGGCAGGGACACCTCCCACCAGCCCAGGTTGCTCAAAGCCCCATCCAGCCTGGCCTTGAACACTGCCAGGGAGGGGGCATCCACAGCTTCTCTGGGCAATCTGTGCCAGTGTCTCAACACCCTCATGGTGAAGAATTTCTTCCTATAGTCTAATCTAAATCTCCTTTCACTTTGAAACCACTCTCTCTTATTCTATCACTCCATGCTCTTGTGAAAAGTCCCTCCTCTGTTTTCCTGTAGCCCCTTCAGGTACTGGAAGGCCGCAATAAGGTCTCCTCAGAGCATTCTCTTCTACAGACTGAATAGCAGTAGAGGATTTCTTCTAAATATCTAAACTAAATATATCCCCTTCCAGTTTAAAACTGTTACCCCTCATCCTATCACTACCGTCCCTGATAACGAGTCTCTCTTCATTTTTCCTGTAGGTCTCCCCAGAGCCATCTCTTCCCTAGGGTAAACACTCCCAATTCTCTTAGCCTGGTCTCATATGGGAGGTGTTACAGCTTCATGGTCCTCCTCTGGATCTCCTTGAGCAGATCCATGTCTTTCATATGCTGGGTCCCCAGAGCTGGATGCAGGACTGCAGGTGGGGTCTCACCAGAGTAGAGGGGCAGAATCCCCTCCCTCGCCCTGCTGGCCATGCTGCTTTTGATGCAGGCCAGGATGTGGTTGGCTTTCTGGGCTATGAGTGCACATTGCCAGTTCATGCTGAGTTTCTTATCAACCATCACCCCCAAGGCAGATCCCCAGATGCACCTACTGGTCAAAAATGAAGATGTCACATAAGGGGAATGAGAGCAGGCAGTGTTCAGCCCAGCCGTACTGTGTTGGACATGTCCCACCAAGAGCAGTGATGGCCCTGGGTCCCTTCTGCTGCGTTTCTCACCTTTGGCGGTTCTTTGTAGGGTTCGCTGTAGAGAGTGCGTATCCTTCTGCGCTCCAGGTATTTGTTATCAGCTGGAGCAGGCTTACTGGTTTCCCCCTTGAATTGAGCACTGTAACTTGTTTCATGGGTCATTTTCTCATCTGGTGGCTTGTACTGGGGCTTTGCTTTTATAGCTTTCACAGGCTTGACGTCTACCCAGGGTCTGAACTCGTTTCTGAAGATCAAAAAAGAAAGGAGTTCAAGAATTAAACCAACAGAAAAGTAGTGGCAACGTGGGAATGAAACCTCCCATTGCTCAACAAGATCTACTTGGGAAGGCTTTTGCCTCCATCCAGTCAAGTTTACAATGAAACTGGCTCCCAACAGCTTATTTTTTACCTCATTTAAAACAAATTCATACACCAGGAGAAGTATGAATGAAATCTGATTTATTAAAATCAGTCAGTCCTGAGCACCAGACAATCTGCTACTTGCGTGATAGAGGTCAGGTGCCTCAGATATGACTGCGATGCTTTTTTTTTGAAAACACAGATGTTTTCTTGTCTCTACGGCTTCATCCCTGCACTGAAGCTACCTGCAAGCAGTTCCTGACTCTCGCAGACAGGGTGGAAGAGAATATTTAGAAAGGAACATAAAAAAAATCATGTTCTGCAACTCAACACAGGACATGCTCTTCTCAACAACTTCCCTGCAGGCAAGGGTTGTTGAAATGTAAGGAGCCAAGATTTTATACAGCCACCCTTTAACCCTGCCTGTAAGTAATTAATCATATGATTTTGCCTATATTGCACCAGAATATGCACAACAGTTTTTGTTAATTCTATAATGGAATAGTTTCAGTTTAAGCTGTCTAAAATTCAAACAGCGTAGGAAATGCACAATTTGTCAGATATTATGAGCTATGGATTCTCTTCATTAGCTGATTCCTGGAAAAACTGGAAAAAATAACACCATCTTTCATTTCTTTCAGACAGACCTGTGACTTTCTGGGGAAAAAAACCCAACACATTTCAAAGATTTTTAGCATCAGCTGGACACATTCTGGTTCCCAACCACAGACTCCTTTTCTTGTATTTTTTGTAGTGGTTCTGAACAGAGCACTAACACCTTTCTAGTTTTGAAGTAAATAATTGCATTTTCTCTCTAAAAATTGCCATTCATCTGAGAATGGGGATAGAGAAACCCCAACTGGGTACTACATTTCCCATTCACATTGTCCCACTGTAATGACACAAAAAGTCCTTTCTCTTCTAAGATAACTGCTGGTTGCAGCAGCCTCCTGGGTGCATTTCTCCTCCTAAGATACCTACGTTAAAGTCTCACCGCATCTGCTGAGTGACTGCATCCTTGTGGTAGTCAGTACAGACTGGCCAACACAGTCAGTGGAGCTTGGAGAGCCCTTCCCTATGCCAAAGATGGGGGGCTGTTTTAGGATGAGCCGAATGCCTCTTTGGGCTACTGTCTATATCTTCACTGACAGGAATACAAACACCTTGCACACATGAAGACCTCTAAATGTAGGTATCTTATCCTGTGAGCCAAATCCCATCACCAACTCTCCATTCTTTCTTATTGTTTCCAGTTGCATTTACTTTTTCTTTTCTCTGTATTCTTTCATTTCCATCCTTCTCTTTTACTATTCAGCCCTTCTTGGACTTGGATAATGCTGCCAAAGGGCCAGGGATACTGCCTGTTTGAAGGATGCTATTCTTCACTAAACTGTTGCACTGAACGAGCAATACATGAATGGGCTCATCTGTGTCTCCTTGGTTTCTGTTCACTGAATGTCACCCATTTGTTCACAGACATTTCTCTGCAGTCCATTGTTAAAATATCCCTTCTGCACTAAGAGTTGAGGGAAAGGAGGAGTAGACATATTTAAAGAACTGGCTTAAAGATGTGAACGTGTTACTGGCAAACTCAAAGTTCAATCCAAGCTCCTCAGAAGAGGCTTCTTCTTAGGATCCACTTTAGTTCCAAAATAAACAGTATATTTTCAACTACATTCCAAAAGAAATAAAATCAGGCACTACTTCTCTCTGCCCATATCCATCTGTCACTCGGATTTTTTCCTAGCAACTTCTGAACCCGTTAGCTATTTTCTATCATATCTGTGGCAGAGGGAGAAATCTCAGGTGAAAATCGCACCACCTTTCCTCAAAATCAGTGAGTGGCCACAGGAACAACATCCAAAGGGTGTAGTTCAGCTGAGGTAAAGCCAGGTAAAATTCATTTTCTTATTCATTCTAAGGCCAGCTGGCCAACCAGCCCACATGGACCACCAGGTCAATTGGCAAACCTAAGCACAGCTTGCATCCACAGAACCAGAGACAAAGGATGGAAGCTGTAGTACTGTGCACATAGGGGCTGGGCTTTAATGATGGAACACGAACCAAAATGCTGGTCTTCATGGAGGTGAGCTTTGAAGCAATGCGATTGTATTTGTTACCACAAAGCCTGGCAACCTCATTATGTGCTGCATTATGCAAACATGCAGAAAAGGATGGGCTGCTCCCTGAAATGCCTGTGATCTCTGTAGAAAAGGCAAACACACAAGGTGGGGGAAAGGGAGAGAAATTCCTTGTGCTACCTGTGAGTTGGCAGGAAATGCATTTCTGCTCTCCTATGAGCTGGCTGCTGAAATGCTAAAGCAAAAGGTCACACAATAGAGACGGACTGTGAATGCAACAACCAATCTCATCTGACTTTTAAAAATGAGCATGAATTCCTCTGCTCTTCTCCATCCTTGCTTTGCTCGTCTTAATGCAGATGTACCAATTCTATGAGTACTCAGATCTGCTGTACTTGGCAACAGGACCCTTGACTACTCTGTGTCTCCTGAGATGAGCCTGGCTTTGCAGGCAAAGGATAGACCAATAGCTGTTCTTAACTGGATGCATGTTGATGCACTATGCCTACCAGCTTCAAAATAGCTCAGGCACGATCTTCTCTGGAAGTGGAACAGAAGGCCATCACTCTTGAAATAGTTTATGGTATTGACAAAGAGTTTGTAAATACCAGGTGTGCCACATGGATTCAGTGCGCATCTAGAAATAACAGGTTGCCCAGAGGTGGTAGACACTCCATCCCTGGAAACATTCAAGGCCAGGTTGGATGGGGCTCTGAGCAACCCGATCCAGTTGAAGATGTCCCTGCTCATTGCAGGGGGGTTGGACTGGATGACCTTTAAAGGTCCCTTCCAACCTCAACCATTCTGTGATTCTATTTTTAATCCTTTTCAGGCAACTGCACATGATTTCACACCCCCAGCTATTACACCAGAGATGGTCCCTTTAAGCATGAGAGAGCACATGGGCCATGCTCATGTGGAGTTCTACTACACCTGAGATGGATGACCAACTCCCTGCTGTGACCGTGCTCAAGCATCCAGTGTGTCAAATTCTGCATAGCTGCTATCTAGAGCTTGCAGAGGCAGTGGAAGGAGGAAAGAAACTCACATCATTTACTACAGCTACGCCTGGTGCAGCCAGCTGATCTCAGCGTCTATCTTTGACATTCAGACAACACATAAATTGTAAAAAAGTGTTACTAGAATAGACACAAGCTATTTTGTGCTGGTTGTGTCAGTGCCCAGAAACTCAACTTACCATGTTTGATTAGCACAAATATACCAATTCCTAAATCTCTCTGTCTCCACCACAGATGATGAGTGAGGGAAAACAGCCTGTTGGGAACTGCCCTTGGAATATATCAGCTTCAGAATGCAGCCCAAAAATTGCTCGGAAAAGTACTAGTTACCCTGGGATAAAAATGTAGGCAGGAGTGTGCTACCAACTTCACATCCTGGATCACCACATTTGAGTGCCAGGCACACTGAATTTACTAATGTAAAGGTATGAAACAAGAAGGCGGATGCCCTCTTTGAGATCTACATCTCTATTGATTGTAGGGATGAGGGGGACAGCTTAAGAAGATGACCTAAGTCCGCCTTCCAGGTCTGGTGACCCTCCATCAAATGTCTGTCTGATATAATCCTGTGTCACCATAAGCCCATCTTGTCCAAACAGTTCATGGCATGGATACACTGTACAACATCCGGAACTGGCCTGATGCTCCAGGATACATACATCACTTAGAGATGCTGCTTTATAAATTTATACACTCCTTATATGTAGCAAAGAAGTGAGATGAAAAGCAGCAGCTTTAGAGTTGATTTATTTTTTTTTTGCATTCTGGAACTAGTAAAAATATCTGCCCTCTAAAATATCATATTGGTTGGTCTTGTAACACTAAAACTAACCCTGGATATTTAACACTGATTGCTATTTAACATCCCAAGGCCAATTTCTGGAGAAGGTGCCCAAAAGTTATAAATTCCAGCTGGAATGTGAAATGAGCCCTGAAAATGTTATTTTTCCCTGTTTTGAGAATAGCTGGTCATAGTGGTATCTGAACCACCACAGACCGCATCACACAAAATCAGCTCTGAAAGTATTTCAGGAGCATGGTAGATCCCATCCTAAAAGAGCTCAGCCTCAGAGCTCACCTAAAACCTGAACAAAAGCCTTTGCTCACACTGCACAGGTGAGTCACGGGCATGGACTAGCATCAGCATGGACATACCCAACAGGCACAGCTTAGTCCAGCTCTGTAATTCTTTATCCAAGGGATTTTCATGACTCTTAATTTTGCTGAGGAAGATTCTAAGAATTGCTATCTTGGCATGAAATGGAGGGGTTGAACTGAAATAGCAGCAAATTACACGTCTCCTAATTTTCTGCCTAGCTCTGGTCCCAGCCTTGCAAAGAGTAATTAAAATAAATCGGGAACCCAGTGCTGACCTGAAATAGAAATCGAAATGAAGCTCAACAAAAAGGAGTATATGAGGCATCAGATGATCTTTTGCAAGCCAAGGCCAACAGGAAAAATTCTTCATGATGATAGTTTAGCTGTTTACAGATCTGATGAGAACACAGGGCTGCGTAGGATGCAGCAAACATTTTGCAAATTAATAGGTAGCAGATCTTCTTATGACAGTAGCCTGGGGAGGTGGTGGCCTGATCTACATCTATTAAAGTCAGGAATTGCTGCTCTCCACATATATCAGTGGATACCACACTGCTCTTGCATGGGGCTTCATCCACCCTAGTTGTTTTATTTTAATTGCATTTTCCCCTTGGGTGAAGATTGCTAAAGGTGGCTGCAGGTGAAGGTGACCTGATCACCCTCCTCCACCCCAGCCAGGGGACATAG